GCCGCTCGCCAGCCAGCCAGCCAGCCGCAGCCAATCAGCAATCAGCGATCCGCGCACTCGTTCTTGGGCCACTCGTCGCAGCTGCTGGGCGCCCAGCTCGGTTAATTTACCGTTTGAAAACTGTTTGCTTGGCTTGCGTCTCGTGTGCTCGTCGCGAACCGGTTCTTCGCTCTCCGTTCCGACAGACGCCTAAGCTAATTAAGTGCTATCGTTATCGATATATGACATGTGCTCCCGCTATGCTATCGGAACTGGAATTGTTTCTAATTCGCGCTAGGCTCCCAGCCAAACTGTTGACTTTCATTTAAATTTTAACTGTTACAGCTCAGCTATAACTGTTTATTTGTATGAAGTGTTTTTAGATGAGATCGAAGAACGCATGTAACATGCCCAGCACCATCCGAGGTGAGTGAGTGGCTTGAATGATATTACAATATAAGAAATTAACATATTAATGTTAAGGATTTCTCTTCTTCGCTCTTCGCTTCTTCTTTAATGCAACATATTGCGTAATACCATAACCAATCCTGAAATTAAGTTTCGATTCGACATGCTTAAGCGATAAAACCTTCACCTTTTTTTCTTATTAAATTATCATTTTTGTTGTTGCTTAAGTTAAGATGGATGAGCGTCTAGCTTGTTAAGCAATTATTATTCAATTAAACAGTTTTACGGTTTGCTCCCTGCAAGAGATGCTAGCTCTTAAGCCGATGTTTATTTGTACATTATTTAGGATTTATTGTGGTCTATCTTGAAAGTGGAACAATTTGAACTAATTTAAATATTGCAAATTTGGACTAGATCGCATTTGGGGTATTTTAAATATTTTTGTTGGTGCAAAAACTGCGATTTTAATTGACAAAAATAAAAACTAAAAACTCAAATGCAAACCAGAAATATGTATTAACTCATAAAATTCAAAAATCAAACTTCAAATGATTTCTAAATTTCAAGGCTTTTAAAAAAAACATTGCTTTTGTAATTATGCAATTTTTGCATAATTAAATAATTAAATAATTAAATAATTATGATATTAACTGCAGTCAGGTATTTAAGAGCCAGTTTCGCTGCAAATCACAAATAATTCTGGTGATATTTCTATTTTATTTAATTTTTATACTTCTTGTAACCAACGGCAACGGGTCTTAGCCTTGGTAAGCTATGAAAAAAAAACAAAAAAAAAAAAAAACGTGTACGAAAAAAATTAATTGATTGTAAAAAGCAAAGGGGCAACAACGGTTCTCGATATGAGTTTTGAAAAATTGCCTGAATGCAAAACGCAGTCAAGCTTCAACGCACGCGATTGCCCGGGCAAGGTTTTTCATTTATCTAAAGTTTTTCTTTGTGTTTCAAGCGCTGCATTTCCGATTCTAGCTGCAGATGTTGCAACATCCAAAACAATGTTTGTATGCGAAAGCGGGCGGGCGGCCGTTAGGCGGGTTTGCTGGAGACGTCGCTGCGCCTGCGCCCAGCAGCAGCTCAGCGAGCAGTTGCCTCATCGACGGCGACGACGTCGCGACGTTGCAATAAACCAGTCGTCGCTGCCTCAGTCGCCGCCTCTGCCGCTGCCGCTGCCATCGTTCAGCTAATCTTGCAACACAGTTGCGCAACAAAGAATCCGACACAACGGTACTAACGTGTTTCGGTTGTGGTAGCTGTTTTAGCTGCTCTCTCTCTCTCTCGCTCTCGCTCTCACTCTTGCCAACATTGTATTTGTTGTCTTTCTCTTTTTGTCTGTGATTTGTTCTTGGCCACAATCGAAGCGAGTTCCACTTGCGTGTAACAGGTTTTTCCTCTTGAATAACTGGGACTTTCGTACGGGACTTTTACCCTGTGCTGGAGTCGCCTCCAAGTTTTTCTCTGCTCGAACAGAAACAGGTTAGAATCGCGCTAAGACCAAGCAGCCGCCGCAAACCAGGCAAAAAGCCAAAGAAAAATAGTAAAAAAAAAATAGAAGAAAAACAGCATGAAGTGGCACGTGATCGCTGGAAGAGGGGCGGCTAGGCAGGAAGGGGGCAAGCGATCATTACAACGGTGAGGCACACATTTGGACGTTAGAACCAACGGCGCTTCCACCAAGCTGCAAGCAGCGTCTGAGCCAAATTGAAGGCTTACGGCCAGAACCAGTTAGCGCTTGATAGACCTGATGTTAGCTTGCGCAACATAAGCCCCTCCCCTCTTCGACCACGATCCCCTCTTGGCTGGCAGCAAAAAATAAATCTAACATGATTTAAGCAACGGAAAACATGAAATATTAAAGAAGTGCCCGATAATATGGCTAATGATGCGTCAAAGCCGTTGAACAACAGGGCCCCAGTTTTAGGGCGATTTGTCTGTTGCGCAATGCCTCTTGGCCAATTCCCTAACGGGGCTCTCAGCTGTTCTCGTTTCTCTGTATTTTTTTTTAATTTTTGTAGCTCTAACTGCTGCCCAGCTTCCATCAGCAGTTTTATAGATTCGCTTCACTTTTTTTCCTTAACCAACAACTGTGTTTCCATTCTTTGGCTTGAAGTTTATTGGCTTTTCGCAGCTCATGAATTGACTTGTTTTGGGTTATTTATTAACGTTTCAGATTGAGCTAAATATAGCACAAGACTTCGGGTCAATAGTTTTGCCATAAATATTATATCAACTTATTTATGCCTCAAATATGTTTTGTGTTTCAAATATAAATCAAAATTATGTATTTATGCCACAAATATATTCTACACATTTAATTTACTGCGTTTCTCTGAGCTATTTGGTTATTATTACCGCAAATATATATAAGAAAAATATAATTATGGCCAAAACTCTCAACTTAATTTGATTTCGCTAAGATATTTAATTAGTTATGGCTCAAACACATTTCATCAATATATTTATGCCTCAAATATGTAAAGGTACAGATATATAGATACTTAGATATATAGATGCTTAGATACACCAGCTAAGATACACTAGAACTCCCAGTTTTAAGAGTTGTAGTATGGATTCTCAATAATATTTGAGACCTGTTTGCTAATAACTCAATGTTGCCCAGCTAGAGGTTCATGTTGGTCAAAATGATTAACAACAACAAGTTAGAAACACTAAGGGTAAACAGTTTGTAAAGCTATATCGAGAACCTTCCGGACTTATCATCATCAGACTTTGCTACCGACCCAAGACTGGCTGGGTCATTTCCTCAGACCCGATCTACAACCATTTGAGAATTATAAGCAGCAAAGAGGCGACAAAGCTGTCCAAAGAAAGTATACAAAGGCAAAAACTGGGTTTGCGACGGAGCAAATTAAAAACATTAGCTGTTAAGAGCATAATTTACGCTTGATATTAACTGATTGGGCACTTAAGAAGCTTAAAGACGCATTGTAGGGCATCTCTCAGTCGAGCACACTTACATATTACCAAATATTGTGCAACGCGCTAGCTTCAAGATTCAAATTTACGCGCGCAATGCACAATAATTTCAACCCCAACGTGCAAAACTGTTTTCCAACACTAAATACACTATAACAGGAATTTCCCATGGCAACAGACACACACACACACACACACACACACGCAAGTACACACGCACACACGCGCACATGGAAGTGGAAGGCAAGTTTGCTTAAGGGTAGGAAAAGCTGCGCAACAATGCCGCGCGCGCTTTTCCAGTTTTTCCTGGCTATGCACTTGGCATTATGCCTACTAACCCTATTTTGCAGCGCAGCGAGTCCCATTTTCGGGCTGCATACAACACGGCACACACACACACACACACACACACACACAAGCACACACATACGTACACATCACACGCACACATACAGCCTGGCATTGCGATTTTTTCCCATTAGAAGTCCTTTTTCCAAGCAGCTGAGTGGCGAAACGGAAAGTGCGGCGCGAAATGTGTTTGTGGCGCACTTGAATTTGGGACACATTCCTGCAAAGGACGCATTCGTAAGGATACGCGGTTCACAAACTAAAGAGGAACTACAAAAATAATAAAAAATCAAATCGAAAGCCAGTGTTTAAAAAGATTGCATTAAAAACATGAAGTAAATGCGTGAACTTGAGAGGAAAGTGCGTGAAAAGTGTGTAAACAATGGAAAACCTGTGGAAAATTCACTTGTGCAAGCGCCTGCAGCCGCAGTCGAAATAAATACAAAATAAATACAAAATAAACCAATATAAATATAAATAAAATATAAAAAAAATATATATTTCAAATAAATAAACAAAATTAAAATAAAATACGCGTCAGAATATAAGAAAAACTGAAAAGCGAAAGCGTTGCATTTGCCAACGTGTGTGTGCGTGTGTGCGAGCGTGTGTGCGAGCGTGTGTGTGTATCGATTTGCATGTGTGTGCGCTGAAAAATCGATTATTAAAGCCACAGCTGCTGGTTGTTGTAATTGCTGGCGGGGGTTGGTGGTGGTTGGTGGCAATTGCAATGCTGGCAACAACTGGCGCTAGGGTTGCGTGCCGCTATGTGGAAATCTGGTAGCAGCAGCAGCAGCAGCAGCAGCAGCAGCAGCGACGTCGGCAGCGGCAGCAACAGCGACACACTTCCAGTCACTTGTATTTTGACGTTAAATTCCAATGGCGCCTTGCAGCCATCCAGCGGCAGCAACAACAGCAGCTCGTTGCATGTGCAGCGCCAGGATACGACAACGACAACAACAACAACAGCAACAGCAACAGCAGCAATAACAACAACAGCAACAACAACAACAACAAAAACAACAACAGCAGCATTTGCCAGTTACGGCCAGAGATACACACGGCCAACAGCAGCAGCAACACACTAGTCCAGGCTCAGGCACAGGTGCAGCAGCAGCAACAGCAGCAGCAGCAGCAGCAGGAGCAGAGGCAGTGTCAGTTGCAGGATATCTAATGAAAAACCTTAACATATTGTGACGTATTTAAACAATGGAAATGCATTTTGGCAGCGGCCCACAACAACAAGAGCAACAAAAATACAACACCAACAAAAAAATAACACAAATGCGACTGATTTACTGTGCAAAAAATATATAAAACAAAAAAAAAAAATAAAGCTTAAAACGAAACAATAAAATTGCAAATCAAATTAAAAACAAGCACAAAATTGAGTATACGACGCATATTCCAAGCTGCAGAAAATTGCCAGCGACGACGACAACAGCAACAACTGGCTGCAACTGGACACAGGTGTATCTACACCCAGGTCTCTCATATATATAATTAAGTTTTACACGTTAGGTTACTATAAAAAAATATATTTCAATTTATTATTTTCACTTAACGGCTACTTTTGTTGAGTACATTCAGATTTGCTTCCCGAATATGAACTGATTTATCTAACTGTTGCGGTCGCTTAGCAAACTTCGCTTTGAGAGAGTTTGAGTCAAAATTGAGTGAAGTTTGAGCTGCGTCAGCAATTATGCGTGGGATAGTACTCTGATGGGAACATTGACAGTGGCGTGATATTTAGGGTGAATTGTTTATGTCTACCAAAGGGGGACAGTTTGATCTTGACCAATGTCGATGTTATCACCAGGCTCTTTGTTTACAATATTAGAAATGTTTATAATTGTGCTTATGCTTATGTGCTAAGTTATGTTAAAGGGTGGGTGCGACTATGGATATGTCACTCCCCCAACCATTAGAAAAGTGCCTGTCCTCAGGTGTTTAAGTTTGGATATAGTGTAACATTTTCTTCTTTTACAATTGGTATATCTCCTATTATTGTAGGTGTTTCTTCTACTTTGGGTTTTTTATATTTTATAATTAATTTCTTAGGTATGCTTTTGAACTTATATGTCAAATACAGTGTTAAACTTATTAATATGATTACAAATATGGTTATTGTAATTATCTGGAATACATTGTTAAATTTTGTATGTGCATTTATAATTTGTTTCGTTTGTACAAACGAAAGTGGTTCTAATTTTATAACATCATTGCTTACGTAAATGCTTTGAGTATAATCTAACATATTGTTTGAAATTGAAATTTCATTAATTTGCAATGAACAATTAAAGATTTTTATTATATTGTCTCCTTCTATTGTTATTTCGTTATTTATACAATTATGGTTTAATATAGTTTTTGGTAAATTCCAAGTTAAAATTATATTTGGTTCTATGTAGTTGATTTGAAAATTTTGCAAAATTTTAGTATAACTACATTCTGATGTTATTTGGTTTAAAATTCCTGTTAAACATTCATTATTAATTAATTTTTTTGTTTCTCTGCTATAAACTTTTTTATCTTGGGTAAAATATTTTTCATGAGCTATTTCTGTCAAAATATTATTATTTTCATCCGGGTATGGAATTATTTCGAATACCGGGCTTTTTATTATTTCTCGAGGAATATGGGATATTATAAGTATTTCGTTTGTATCTGATTTAAACCAAGTGGAAGTTTTTGTATTCAACAATTTCTCAGAATTAACATGCAACAAATAGTCATGTTTTAGTAATTTTGGGTTAAAAATTCCTAATCTTGTGAGCTGCATTCCCATCTCAATGTCTTCTATATATTCTGTAAAGTGTTGTAAGTTAAATATAAGGATATCTAATTTCTTTCCTTTTTGTTTCTCTTGATCTAGTTCGTTCATGATTTCTATTCCTTTGTTTATAGCTTCTATTATGTAATTTAATTCGTTAACCTGGACGCTGTTTTCTGCTAAGTTGCTTATTTTTTGTTCAATTTCTGCTTTGTCTTCTTGATCTAATGTTCCAAATAAGTATTTATATGCTGTTCCTACTATGTTAACTAAACCTCTTTTGCTGCGTTTGGCTATTTTTAAGCCGTTTATTTCTCTGTTTAATTTTTCTACTAGGTATTCGATTTGTATAAGGTTATTGAATTCTTTACTTTGTTCAATTAAATTGTTAAAAGTTTCTTCGGTTTTTGTTATATTAACCGTTAAACAGTGGAATTCGTAATCTGTCGGAATGTCTATGGTTCCTGTTTTAAATATGAGATATCCGTTATGGGCTTTGATAGGATTAATTTCAATACTCTGTGCATTTATATGGTTTACAGTTATTGATAGTAATATTATAATAATTAATTTAAGCTGGTGCTTGTATGTTTTGATCGCTGTCTGTTGTTGACCTGTAATTGTTATATTTGCTTTGATTAGTCTTCTTTTTCTTTTTAAATTTGGTTTTGTAATGTGTTATTTTCCTGCCTCTGTTAGTTTCCTCAAAATGTTTGTCGTCGATTTGTCTTAGTTCTCCTGTTTTCTTGAACGGGGTTGTCGTCTTTGATTTAACTAACGGTGAGTGTTTGTATCTAGTGTCAATTTCATAATTTGTTCGTTTTTTGTTGAGGTTATTTATTAGTTTTTCTTTATTAGCTTGAGTGTCATACTCTGGTGTACCTGCATATATGAATATGTCCGCTGGTGTTCTGTTAGTCGTTTTGTGCTTTGTTTTATGATTGTACGTGTAGAGTATAGTTTCAAATTTTGTAAGTTTATTTTCGACGTCTGAGTCGCTGTTAATGATTCTTAGTTTTTCGTTAACTGTCTTATGAAATCGTTCTACGTCGGATATACCATTTTTACTAGTGGTTATATTAATATTTACTGCTTCTGATTTTAGCCATAATTGTAAAGCTGTGCACATAAAAGCTGAGTCTTTGTCTGCCTTTATTTCGATGGGTTTACCCATTTGGTTGAACACTTGTAATATAGCTCGTTTGGTTTCTAGCCAGTCTCTACTTTTTATTTCTATTAATGATGCAAATTTTGAATAGATATCAATGCAAGATAAAAATTGTTTATCTCCTACTATGTAAAAATCCATTACATATTTTTCTCGGATATTAGCGATTTCCGGAGTTATTTCGAAAGTTAATTTTGTATCTCTGTGTTCTGTTTTTGCGATGTTGCAAATCTCACATTCATTTATTAGATTTTGAATTAAATTTTGATAATCTGGGAAATAGTGGGTTTCTTTGAACCAATTGATAGTTTTTTCAATTCCTGGATGTAATAATTCTTTGTGCTTTTTTAATATTAATTCTTTGAATTCTGCATATGTTTGAAGGTCTATTAATTTTGTACTAGTTTTCATTGCCTTTGTTGAATTATTCGGACTTATTATTTCTAAGTAGGCTTCTTGAAAAATTGGAAAATCTGCTTCGTTGTGGAAGTATAGCACACTTTTCTTTGTGCATAAGTATTCTTTTATTAATTCTTTGGCATGCGTATTAGTCATGTCTTTGTACGTAATTTTTATGTTGGTTTTGTGAAAGTAATTCGTAACTTTTGTTTCGTTCTCGGTTCCTTTTTCAAATTCTATTTGTCGATTATAATAATTAAGTGGTCTTTCTGTGATTTGTAAATGGTTACTGTTGTCTTCTTGAGCACTATGTATTGTTGCTCTTGTGCTAATTGTATCTTCGCCTAAGAAGTTTTCGTTTAATTGAATTCTGGACAGAGCATCTGCCACATAATTTTCTTTTCCTGGGACGTATTTAATTTGGAAATCAAACTCATTTAGCTTGATCTTCCACCTTTGTAATTTCATGTTAGGTTCTTTCATATTATTTAACCAGACGAGTGGTCTGTGATCACTAAGGATTTGAAATTGTCGACCAAAGAGATAGGACCTAAAGTATTTAGTGGCCCAAACGATTGCTAATAATTCTTTTTCAATCGTTGAATAATTTAACTCATGCTCGTTGAGAGTTCTACTTGCATAGCATATAGGCTTATGCTCTTGCGAAAGGACGGCCCCTATTGCCATATTACTTGCGTCTGTAGTTAATGAAAATGGTTTTTCGAAGTTAGGGTATATTAAAATTGGGTCGGATGTTATGAGTACTTTTAGCTTTTCAAACGCTAGTTCGTAGTCTCTGTCTTTTATATTGATTTTTGCTCCCTTTTTTAATTTAAGTGTTAATGGTTTTACTATATTAGCGAAATTTGGTATAAATTTCCTATAGAAACCACATAATCCTAGAAATGATTTAATTTCTTTTGGGGTTTTTGGAATTGGGAATTTGACAATTGCTTGTATCTTGTTGGGATTTGGTTTTATACCCTCAGTTGTGATGATGTGACCGAGAAATTCAGTTTCTTTTCTCATAAACTCGCATTTATCCAACTGTAGTTTTAAGTTAGCTTCTCTAAGCTTCTTAAATACCTTTTGTAGCGACAAAATGTGTTCCTCCAATGAAGTGGAAAAAATAATAATGTCGTCTAAGTAGACCAGACAATCTTTAAAAATTAAATCTTCTAAGAGATTGTTCATACAACGTTGGAACGTTGCAGGTGCATTCTTAAGACCAAATGGCATGCGAGTGTACTCGTAATGGCCATGTTTAGTCGAAAATGCGGTCTTGGGTATTGAACCAGGATCCATTTGGATTTGGTGAAAGCCTTTGGCTAGATCAATGGTTGTGAAATATTGACATTTTCCAAGTTTGTCTAATATTTCATCCATGATCGGGATAGGGTATTTATCATTAATAGTTAGTTCATTGAGATTGCGGTAATCTATGACTAACCGGAACTTTTGCTTTCCAGATGCATCGTTTTTCTTTGGAACGATTATTACTGGTGAGCAGTAAGGGGATTTGGATTTACGTATGATATTTTGTTTTATCATATCGCTTATTTGTTTATTTACTTCCTCATCGTATATTTGAGGATATTTGTATGGACGCTTGTAAATTGGGTCCTCATGTTTTGTTAGAATTTTGTGTTTAATTGTACTAGTGAAAGTCAAATTGTCACCTTCATGGTACTGGATATCACGAAATTCATGTAAAACTTTTTTTATTTTTTCTTTTTCTTCTGAGTTTAGGTGCTCTAGCCTAAACTCATTGTTTTCTATTAATTCATTATTAATAGCGAAGTTAAATGGTCTGTCCTCTGTTGAGGGTGGATCAAGGCACTCTTGTGCGGTCATGTCCTCTTCGACCTCTTCGTCGTTATATCTAAAACAAAAGTTAAATTCTCCTAAGGTTACGGATCCTTGTGCATAGTCTATTTTTGCTTGACATGCCTCAAGGTATTCTCTCCCAATCAGAACATCATAATGCTCTGAGAAGTCGTGAATATAGAATTTTTGTTTGCTCGGACAAATTTTGCTTGCTCCTAAGCGTATACTTTGTTTTAATTCAATAACACCATTTATGGTGTGAACCTTTAATGTTTCGTTGTAAACTGGAAAATTTAAGCGGTTTGTTTTCATTAGATTTATGGTTGAACCTGTGTCGATGACACATTTTAGAACTTCGTCATTCATAATCAATTTTATGAATGGATTTCTTCTGTTTGTTCCGAGGCTTGCTGATGAAAATTTTCGGATGTATCCATTTTCATCTGCCCACTGTTACTATCTCTTTGACGTTTAGTCGGAGGGTTTGGTGCATTCAAGCGTGAATGGGACTGATTTTGGTAGTTTAAGGGATTTTGGTATCTACCTTGACTTAATTTCTGTTGGAACTCGTGGTGAGCTTTCTGATTGTCTTCGGACTTATTATGCTGTTTATTTTGTGCGTGATAACTCTGATTCGTGTTGGAATAACCACTTGAAATGGTGGTTGGGTTAGCATTTTGCTGATAATTTCCCATGTTCCTACGATTGTTATTTGGATTTCCCTGAACATTATTATTTTTAGGTTTTTCAGTAACGCTATTTTCATATAATCCCTCTCTTTGAGCTACTTGCTTTAGTTTTTGTGTCGACGTAATGTCGTGTCTGGCTAACATCATGAAAAGCCTATCTGGTAATTTTTTTGTAATAACATCTTTGATTGTGTTATTCATAGCATTTGTATAAAGGGTTGTATTGCTAGGTATATTTTCTAGTGCTAACTTATTTAATATAACAAAAGATTTATTCTCGAGCTCCTCGATGAACTTACGGACGTTTCCTTGGTAATTCGTGTTGTATAAGCGTCGAAGGAGTTCTTCAAATGGTGTCTGCACTTTGTATTCTTCAATCAATGCGTTTCTCAGCTCCTGCCAAGTGTTGGCTGCTGTCCTTTGTGATATTCTCTGAGCATCTCCTGTGACTTGCAATTCGATGGCTCCGTATAAGATGCTATGTTGTCTAACATCTCGGGTTGGATACAGGTGTAGGATGTAATCTATCCTTTTAATGAAGGCGTTTAGTTGATCCGTTGATCCGTCAAAGCTTGGCACCTGTCTAAGTTGTGAAAGGGCCTGGTTGAGGTGTTGTTCTGATAATTCCATTGTCATCTTGGTGTAATACACTTTTTTTTGAATAGTTTTGAGTTTGTAGGTTTGAACTTTATTGTTCTTTGATTTTGCACTTTTATTTTAGGTTAAAGTTTGTGATGGATTATTGGTTAAATGTTTTTTTTTTTTTGTGTGTGTGTCTTAAAAAGACTCAGTAATAACGTATTGCAGGGATCAAACGATATGCAAAGCCAGTCGTTATTAACTGTAGTAGCTTTATTGCCCAAAGGGTCAATATTATTAAGCTACTAGTGACCCGAAGGTTCTTGTGCGGATACGTATTCGAGAAAATTTTTATTACACTCCGACAACACTTTCGGTCGCGATTGTGCGTTAGATCTGGGAATTAATTATCCTTTAGCGATCTTTAATTTTTCCCGACGTATCCTACCGGCTGCGCCAATTAAGTTTTACACGTTAGGTTACTATAAAAAAATATATTTCAATTTATTATTTTCACTTAACGGCTACTTTTGTTGAGTACATTCAGATTTGCTTCCCGAATATGAACTGATTTATCTAACTGTTGCGGTCGCTTAGCAAACTTCGCTTTGAGAGAGTTTGAGTCAAAATTGAGTGAAGTTTGAGCTGCGTCAGCAATTATGCGTGGGATAGTACTCTGATGGGAACATTGACAGTGGCGTGATATTTAGGGTGAATTGTTTATGTCTACCAAAGGGGGACAGTTTGATCTTGACCAATGTCGATGTTATCACCAGGCTCTTTGTTTACAATATTAGAAATGTTTATAATTGTGCTTATGCTTATGTGCTAAGTTATGTTAAAGGGTGGGTGCGACTATGGATATGTCACTATATATATATATATATATATATATATCTATATATATGTATACAACACATAAATGTATAATCATATTATTAATCGTAATTATAATCAAATTGAAAGCAATTCAAAGTTAGATGTGTGACTTATATTGTAAACGATTTTAAGTGCACTTTTGTAAGGCTGATTTTTCTCAATTTATTTCGATGTTGTGCTTCTACACAGAAACCTAAGCTAAACAAAAAATTAAAACTAAACTCGCAAAACAAATAAGCAAGTGTGCGTAAAAAGGTTTAGCTTCAATGCAAGTGTTAGAAAGTTCGTTAACAAGTGTTGGAAAACTGTAAAACCAAATTAAAACAAATATTCTAAAAGAAACACGCACAAAAACAACAACAACTAGCAATAGTTTCAGCTGCAAGTCATTAAAACAAGTGTTGGAAAAAGCTAAAAAATACATTGAAAAATATCCAAGATCCTTAACACAATATCCGGCAGCTACCAACAACAGGAAAGAGCAATTGTTGCTGAACAATTCTAAAAAAAAGGTATTGCAATTCAAGTATTCACGAAAAGAATTGCCAGCAATGGTAAATATTGAATAGCACACCAAACATGTGCTGGAAAATGCTAAAAAATATATGTAAATATAGTAAAAGTAATCGCAAATAAACGCAGAGCAGCTGCAATCTGCAAAACACAACAGCAACTGGCAGCAATTGTTGCTGGCTTCATACACCAAATTGTCCAAGAAACGGCCCTCACAACGGATAGGCCAAGAGATCTCCTGCTGATACAGCAGGCAGCGCCCGTTGGCAGCAACAGAGCGACTGCAGCAACAGTTGCCACAACAGCAGCAACAACTGCGGCAACTGCAAGCGCCAGCTATCTAGATGCGGATGCTGCCACAGCGGCAGCCGTGGCAAGTTTGCGCAGCAAGGTGCCCTCGATATCGATAATACCGCTGCCAGCGGCCACCACAATTGTGGCTCGGTCAACTGGCACGCCCACGCGCTGTGTGAGCACCTCGAACAAAGCCACATCGCCACCGCTGGCTTTTCTAACGGATGCAGCAGCCGCAACAACAGCAACAGCAGCAACAGCAGCAGCAGCAGCAGCAACTGGCTACGTGCGACCGCAGCAGCAACATCAGTACCAGCAGACGGACAAGTGCACGGTGCTCAAGCTGGATGTGCTGCGCGCTCGGGAACGGGAGCGGGAGCCAGTGACGACCATACGCAGCCTGGCCAGCGTCACGGGCGGCTGCGATGTGGCCAGCAGCAGCAGCAGTAGCAGCAGCAGCAACACTGTAGCAACAATTACAACAGCAGCAGCAACAGCAGCAACAACAACTACCACGACGTACCTGCAGATCGAACAGCAGCTCGGTAAGCTGGATGCCATTGAGGAGGACGAGGACGATGAGCATATGGCCAGCCTGCTGGGCAGCAACAGCCGCAGCAGCAGCAGCAGCAACAGCAACACACACAACAACAACAACAGCAACAGATGCAATCTGCCGCCCGAACAGATACTGGCCAGCCAGCCCATCATCGTTAAGATTGAGCCGACGCAGGCCTTTCACATTGTCGACGAGGGCGACACGCGTGTGCTCAGCCTGCCGCTGACCGACGCCGACAAGCTCGGTGCCAGCTGGATAGATCTTAAGGATATAGCCGGCCTCCAGACGGGCGGCGGCGCCACCTTGCTGGACGTGTGCTTTGAGACGACAACGGGCGGCGAGGAGGAGGCCACAATCATAGCCAGCGCCTCGCCAGAGGCGCCACAGCAGCAGCAGCAGCAGCACCTCCAGCAGCAGCAGCAGCTGGAGGAGGCGCAGCTGGTGGAGCCGGCGCCCAAGCGCTTGGCTTTGGCTGCACCACAGCAAATGCAAACGAAATTCATGTCGGAGCCACCGGCGCTGGCCCGTGCCGGCAGCTTCAGCAGCTTGGGCAGCTTCAGCAGCGTGTGCAAGCACATTGCCAGCAGCGAGAACAGCAGCAACAACAACAGCAGCCATCGCAAGACAGCCACGCCCACTGAGCGGCTGCGACATAGAGAACGAACGCCACCACCGCTGCTGCCCACACAGAAGCCAGCCACAGCCACAGCAACAACAGCAGCATCAACAACAGCAGCAGCAGCAGCAACAACAGCAGCAACAGCAACCACAGCAGCAACATCAGCAACAACAACAGCAACCACAACTGCTGCGGCTGCGGTCGCGGCAACAGCAACGCGCGACAGAGACAGGGAGAGAGACAGAGACAGAGACAGCAGCAGCAATGGAGCTATGACAGGTCAGTGTGCATATTCATAAGTAGTACAGTGAAACCAGCTTGGAATGAACCTTACTAATTGTTGTAGGCAAATTATGTGCTCATCAAAATTAATTATTATGTGAGCAACTGCCAAATAATCGATCGCTGTTCGATAAGCGATAAAGTTTTATGTATTGGGAAACTCATTTGCATAGAGTTTTAAAATTAAACAATTGCATATTGTATATAAATATTAAATTTCTTCTCAATAAGCTTCAACTTAATTGAAAAGCTTTAGCTTTAAAGTATTTCTTAGCAAACAACAATATATTTTTTAAGTCTTCTTCATGTGCTTTAAGCTAATTAAAATCGGAAGCTTTAAAGCTTCAATTGACAGCACGTGCATCTAAATAAAATTTTTAACTCTACAGAACTACAGTTTAGGAAAAAGGAGCTTTGGTCTTAAAGTTTCCACCTGCAACTTGTAGTGAGAGTCTACTGTACTTGCGAGTGGGAGACTCGCATCTGGGGGCATGCAAATGATGGCATTGCGCAAGCAGCCCAGCTCGGACCACAATTAACAGGCTGACACAGCGTCCACATTGATGCCTTCTGGCAGCAGCAGCAGCAGCAGCAGCAACAGCAGCAACAACAACAACAACAACAGTAACAGGTGTATGTGCGTATGTTGTTGTTGTTGTTGTTGTTGTTGTTGCACACACCCCATGCCAAAGAATTTCAATTTACAAGCGTCGATTTATTGGCTATTCACCTCTTGTGGCAGCCACCGAGCCGCAGCTCGACTGCGGCTGTGTCCCACTTTCCATAGACGACGTTGGTTGCAGCAGTAAAAAAAAAAAAAAAACAGACAAACAAATAGAATAAAAAAAACATGTTTTGACATACTAAATAAGCCGCAAAGTTGCTCGCTAGCGAGAGGCAGGGGTACAGGGAGGGGGGGGGGGGGGGGGGCATGCTAGTGCTGCGGGTTGGTGTTCTTTATCATTAGGTTCTGTTAGTTTGTGCGATTCTTGCTGCTTCGACACATTCGCTTTACGGCTCTTTGACTCACTTGCGGCACAAATGAGCCACACAGCCCCCCTACCCCCTCCCCCCACCCCTCTCACACTCTTTCTGTCTCTCTCTCTCTCACTCTTTGCTTTGGCTATCAAGTCACAGTTCTAAGCACTTGTTCATCGCCCGCTTCGTTTCACACACACACACACGTACACACACACACACACACACACACATGCACACAGTAAACATTCTTGGCTCATAGTTTTTACCGTAGCACGAACCTTAGCGGTAAAAGCCGCAGCTACAAACTATACAGTTAGCTGAATGAAGTCTAAGCACACACACACACACACACACACACACACACACACACACACACAAGCACACACACACTCACTCTCACACACACATTCGCTCGATTACAATAGAACTGTGCGCAACGGCAGCTCGCAATTCTTCACAATCTTAATGAGCTGGCCAGGGGCGTCTTAGAGGTGGGCGGCGGGCGGGGGGTACAGGGCTGACCAGTCTGTATCTATATAATGCTTTTGGCCAAGCTTGAAATTGATTTGGCCGCTTGAGGCGTTCGCAGTTGTCAGTTTCTGATGGGCCACAAATGAGTCGCAGTCGCTGCCCCGGGCGCAGGGGCGTGGCTCGTGACTGTGCAACCAACAAAAAAAAAGGGGTTTCATTCTTAAAGAACGAGCCAAGATTGATCTACATTTGCCCAAAAAGCTGTCCGTGTCTGGCTCTTGTTGATATTTGCGGCTCATTAGCCCTTGAACTGGTCAGTTATGTCATTCGATGATTGATGAGCTGCATTTCGAGCCGAGCTGATCATTAATCGAGCGATCGATAACGAGTCTAACGGAGCTTTACTCGAATTGATGACGAAACCGCCCAATCTAAAAGGGGGAAACTTAATCCGCAAAACTAATCATTAACTTATCATCAGACTCTCTTAGACCATCTTAAGGGCTCATAATAATTAAATTTCTAGCATTCTAAACGGTAAAGCCGAGACTGTGTATAGAACATCTTTTTTACAGATAATATTATGTATTACAATAGAAAAATAGAAGAGTTCAAAATGGCTACTTACATTTGTATTTGAAGATATTCATTAATGAAAAGACAGATTAAATTCCATGAGAGAAGGCAAGCTGTTGCTGCTGTTAGTTTAGCTGTATTTAGTCTCTGAAAATAAACAACATAAAAACTAGATATTAAATTGTTCCAAATTAATTCCAAGTTAGATCACTATTAATAACAGTTACATTTTATGTTAAGCAGCTGTTAACACTATGCTTGTTAGTTAACAGACAGCAGCAAAGCAGTTACAGTACAGTAAATAAATTTAACAGTATCTTAGCCAAATAACAGAGCACCCCACTGCTGAGCAGATTTGCCTTAACATGATTTGCTTTAAATGCACAAATTCTGTAATAAAAATTAACATAAAAGTAACTGAGTTTTACATCAGCTATGACTTGCAAGATACAAATTCATTTGTGAAGCATAAAAAACGACAGACTGAAATAATTTTGTATATATTTTATTTAGCTGCGAAATGTAGCTCATCAGACGCATTAATAAGCGTCTTTAATTTGGCAAGGAAACCACAATACCAGCCAAATGAATCCATTAAATGTTTTCACTAACTAACTAACTTAGTAGCTAAACTGGCTAAACATTTGTTTGCATCCACAAGATGCGACCCTGAAGTTGGCCATAAAAGAAGAAGAAGAAGCGAGCGCATTACACAAGACAAAACCCAAGTCAAGATGCGGATGACGAGTTACGAGAGGTTCAGGCGAACGCACTATCACTTTTGCGAATAGATATATGTAGATATATAGATATATATATATATAGAGATACATGTGTGGAGATATGTGGGTATATCAATCGCATGATCGCATAGATGTCCCCCATTGTTGCTGATATTGGAATTACCTATATGATTTGGCGATGGGTTCATTATAATTTCAGCCAGACAACGTTTGCATTTCATGCATGAATCTGCCGAACCCGCCGCCCTCTCGCCCCGCGTCCCGCCCGCCAGGGCCCTGTAACTCGTACCCGTCCATTAGCCAGCGCCGCATGAGGTTTCTTTCCAATCGAGCGCAGCCGTTTCATTATCATAACCAAGTTTTTTGTTTCACCCAATATAATTTTTTTTTTTTTGCCAATCGTTGTTGGCCATTTCGTAATATGGAGTTTTATTTTATTTTTTTTTTTTGTTTCATCTACTTGTTTCGTTTATGCAAAGTTTTATGCTGTCCCATA